CCTCTAACTGCATCTCTTCTTCTTCCCTACCTTTTTCTGTTTGCACCTAGACAAATGATGATTGATGATGATGAGATGCTAAGAAGAATAAGGAAGAATAAGGGGAAAGTGGGAATGGGGATGGTTCCCCCCCCCCCGCCACTCGTACCTAACCCTCCATTTAATTGTTCGTTTATTTGCCCTTTGCCCGAAGATCCCAGGGAGGTGTGCAACATTAAAAACATAATTTGGATAGCACAATAATAAAATAAAATAGAAACAGAAAGAAATATTGCTTTAAAAGGCAATAGATTGCTTAATGGCTGAAGACCTGGGTAAAGAGGACTGTTTTTGCCTGGCACTGAAAAACATTGGATCATAGGTTTGGAAGGGGCGACAAGGGTCATCTAGTCCAACCCCTTCAATGGAGCTATCCACACTCAACATGTTAAAAAGGTCAAGGCGCCTTTGTGGATTGCATAAGGTGAATTAACTGGAGTGACGGTTTCTATAGAGGATCCTGCTTTAAGTTAAGTAGCTGACTAAAATAAGCAGTATTTAGACAGCATTTCTGAGAATTCAAAGCACTTTGTATATGTTGTCATGTTGTTCTCCTTCTAACACAACTGTTAGGTTAGTCATATGGCTAGTCACCATATTGTAGAGGACGGTGACTGGGTCAGAAAGAGAGTGGTTTAGGTAAGGTTGCCTGTGGCAATCCTATGTATGTATAATTTGGGGTTGGGGGGAGTCCTGCCATGTTCAGTAAAGTAAGTAGGCATAGGATTTCTGCCTTGGTGAGTTCATGGCAGAGGAATGATAAACAAGTTACCAAGAAGTAACCTAAAGTGGATTTGCTGCTCTTGTGCAACAAACCCCATGTCCAAACGAAAGGGACTTTTTCAGTAAGGAAAGTGACAGGGAAAACAGACCAGAAAGTGTAAGAATAACCGTCTTAAAAATCTCTCCACAAACAAATCAGAATGAATGCTCATAAACAGTCTCCGAGTTAAGATGCTCAATGCATTTGTAATGCCAAGGGAAATCCTTCACTGGCCAGCATGCTCATTCACATTACAAATGCCTCATTTTCTCTGCTACATTAACTATGATCCCACAAATTGAATCTACATATACAGAAAAAGTCCCTTAGCAATAGGATCTTTCATAAGGTGTCTGGCCAAGGCACTTGACACACAAGGCTCTGAGTTTGATGTCTGAACCTTCTCATAGTTTTCCAAGTAATGTTCAAAAGGAGGGATTTGTATGTGTCAAGAGAGCTGCACACCTCAGTTTCATCACACTTTTTTTTTTTCTTTTTAAGCACTATTTAGTGAAAAAGCATTGCACGGTAAGCAGTGCTATGATGAACCATCTGGAAATGCTGAGCAGCTAAAATGCCTCTTGGCAGATCAGGGATGCAAATGCTTACAGATTAAAAATTGAGGGATTAAAAGTATTTCCTTACTTGAAAATATATTTGAAGCACTTAGTACAGCAATGTTACATGCAGAAAGAAGAAATATAGTAGAAGCGGTATATACATTTATTTTTAAAACAACAGCACCTTGATCTTATATATTTGTGTCTTGTCTGAGATTATTCCCCCCACCCCCAAAAAATACCAAAGGTAGTGCCATATCTTCAACAGAGATTGGGCCTTTGGCACCTCTTCCCTTCCATCTGTATGCTGAATGTGTGGAAGGAGACTTGGGCTGAACTCCCTGGCCCCACCTTCAGTCCCTGTGTGTCATAATTTCATAGAATTGGAAGGGAACCCAAGGGTCCTCTAGTCCAACCCCCTGCAATGTTGGAAGCCTGTCCACAGCCATTCCTGGGTGGGCTTGAACCTCCACTGGCCGATTGTGCCTCAGGAGAGCCATGGAAAGTGGGAAGGAGACACCTGTACACCTCCATCTGTACATACATAGGTTCTTCCATACACCTGAGAACAGAGATGTGACCCAGCCATTCTACTTCTCCTGGGTTTCTTTGGGAGGAAGGGCAGGATCTAAATTAAATAGATATATAATAGAGTAGAATTTGTTTGGCCTCCATTTTCTTGCAACCATTATCATGGCTGCTGAGGAATAATGGTTCCCTTATTTCACACATTTGAAACAATTAATTAGAAAAATTCTTTCTAGTCATCTAAGAAACCTTTATGCAATGCTCAACTATTCTTTTTCATGCAGTAAGGCTGGGTTTTGATGCAGTGCTACTAAATATGCAAAAAGTGACCATTCCCAACATACCTCTAATGTGTCGTCCACAGCTACAAACCCACAAACATTTATCCGAGAGTAAATCCCTATTTGACTTATATGCAGAATTCATCATGCGAAAGGCTGGGCTGGATGAATCCCAAACCGGAATTAAGATTGCCGGAAGAAATATCAACAACCTCAGATATGCAGATGACACAACCTTGATGGCAGAAAGTGAAGAGGAATTAAAGAACCTTTTAATGAGGGTGAAAGAGGAGAGCGCAAAATATGGTCTGAAGCTCAACATCAAAAAAACTAAGATCATGGCCACTGGGGCCATCACCTCCTGGCAAATAGAAGGGGAAGAAATGGAAGCAGTGAGAGATTTTACTTTCTTGGGCTCCATGATCACTGCAGATGGTGACAGCAGTCACGAAATTAAAAGACGCCTGCTTCTTGGGAGAAAAGCAATGACAAACCTAGACAGCATTTTAAAAAGCAGAGACATCACCTTGCCAACAAAGGTCCGTATAGTTAAAGCTATGGTTTTCCCAGTAGTGATGTATGGAAGTGAGAGCTGGACCATAAAGAAGGCTGATCGCCGAAGAATTGATGCTTTTGAATTATGGTGCTGAAGGAGACTCTTGAGAGTCCCATGGACTGCAAGAAGATCAAACCTATCCATTCTTAAGGAAATCAGCCCTGAGAGCTCACTGGAAGGACAGATCGTGAAGCTGAGAGTCCAATACTTTGGCCACCTCATGAGAAGAGAAGACTCCCTGGAAAAGACCCTGATGTTGGGAAAGATGGAGGGCACAAGGAGAAGGGGACGATAGAGGACGAGATGGTTGGACAGTGTTCTTGAAGCTACCAGCATGAGTTTGACCAAACTGCGGGAGGCAGTGGAAGACAGGAGTGCCTGGCGTGCTCTGGTCCAGGGGGTCACGAAGAGTCGGACACGACTAAACGACTAAACAACAACAACAAAATCCCTCTGAACTCAATGGCACTTCCAAGCAGACATGACTGGGTCTGCACTGTGATGAATGTTTCCTGAAGTTTGACAGTAAAGGGCATCATTTTATATAAGCAGTTTATATAACTGGTTAATCTCGACTTGAGGTGTGATTATTGCTAATTGAAAACTAACTCTGCTAACTTCAGAGGAGTATTCTAAAACAGCTGCTAGCTCTGTAGTTCATTCCTCTTCAGTCCCTTTCTTTAAATACTGATAAGATGAAGGCCTGAAAAGAGCTTCAGAAAGAGATGATCCCAAAGGACTCCAGATGCTATCCAGTACTTCTGTGGAAATATTGGGAAGGCCCACTGAAGAAGAGCAGTTATGGCACAGCCCATTATTTGCCCAGCAACAGAAAAGAGACAAAGGGAGGCCAGAATAGTTTGTGGCTCAAAGACTTAACAGATTTATTGTTGTACCACATGCTTTTGCCAGTAGAATCCACTTCAATTGAATAAAGTGGCATTTCATTTTTTTATTTTTTTAAACAAAGGTTGCAACACAGATAAGCTGCTGCGTTTTTAAGAGCCAGGCTAGATGCATTTGTTTGTTGATTCATGAGTCTGTCCCCAAGGGAGGCTGCAAGACTAATTTTTACAACACATCTTCATCTCAGTGTACTGGGTTCAAGCCCCATGTTGGGCAAAAGATTCCTGTATTGCAGGGGGTTGGACTGGATGACCTTCGGCTCCCTTCCAATGCAACAATTCTATGATTTCATGAGTACATGCAACAATACTTGGAGACTTAATAATTAATAATAAGGCTGTCTGACTTCCAGGAGCAACATGGGACCAAGGACCTGTGGTGGCTATTTGTGTTTTTGAGGAAATGGCTTATTGTGTTTTGGTGCTCTAGACAACTGCTGCATAGCATACTATTGCATAACAGACTCCCTTGGGAGGTTGTGTACTCACCTTCCTTGGAGGTTTTTAAGCAGAGGTTGGATGACCATCTGTCATGGAAGCTTTAGCTGAGATTCCTGCATTGCAGGGGGTGGACTAGATGACCCTCGGGAACCCCTTCTGTGGTAAATGTACCATAAATAAATAGTTACAGATGGTTAAGATCTTTTTTAAAAAAGAAAAAGAAGTATTGTTCAAATGCAGCACAAAGCTAATAAATAAATGGTAAAGTTCTTTTAGTAAGTTGCAGCGTCTGCACTTCCTGGAAGGTTCTACCACAGCAAAGAGCTGCACGTGTGAAGGGAGCTGAGCCCTCCCCTCCTTCAAGGGCCCTGAAAACCTGCCAACCCAGGCAGCCACCCCAGCACCCTGCACAAAGGCCAAATGAAAGACACACCCAACGAGTAACATTACATCCCGATCTGATTAGATGCTTAGCCTAAAATGGAAATATCAGAAACTCATCTTGCCATCATCCTGGGGGTCCACGAAGGTATGTAAGCAGTGCTTTTTTCTCAAGGATAAACAGTTACCAGCATCTTTTTTTCCCCTCTAGAAGAAACATACTGGTTAAAAGTGCAGCACTTACTGTAACAACTTCATGGTGCACCTTTTTTTCTAGAAGAAACACACTGGGTGTAGAGAGGGTAGGGAGGCGGGAGCGGTAAAAAAAATGCTTGTCAAGAGAGACAGTGAACTGAAGATTTGGGGCCTGATAAAATGAGCTGGTGGAAAGAGAGAAGCGATATGCAAAGAAATATGTATATACATTTCGTTCTCTTTATTTGAAACCACATGGTTTTCTGCAAAAGGCAGAACTGCTACAGGACATTGCAAGAGAATTCATGTTCAGCACTTTCTACAGAGCAAGCGGTCGCCATGGAGACGGCAGCCATGCACCAGTACTGGAGCTATGGGAGACATGATTATTTTCAGAATCGGCCTATGAGAAAGGAGAGACACATCTGCCAGCATCTTGTCATGTATGTCAAGATGCCATATACTAAGGCTATAGTCAGAGGCTCTGATATGTTTTTATTGTGCTGCTTGATTATGACATTTTAATCATTTGGTTGGTTATAGTAGAAAGGTGAGGGTAAAGGACCTCTGGACGGTTAAGTCCAGTCAAAGGCAACTATGGCGGAAGCCAGAGCACACGGAAACACCGTTTAACCTTCCCGCCACAACTGTACCTTTTTATCTACTTGCACTGGCATGCTTTCGAACTGCTAGATGATGATGATGATTAGATTAGCAGAAGCTGGGACAGAGCAACGGAAACTCACCCCCGTCACATGGATTTGAATGGCCAACCTTCCGATCGGCAAGCCCAAGAGGCTCAGTGGTTTAGACCACAGCGCCACCCATTCCCCTGAGTTATAGTAGTATTGAGGGGGTTTAGTAATAAAATTTGTATTTGTTTCAAAATTTTGAAGCATGGGGAAAGTCACCAAGCCAGTGGTGGGCATGCTGTTGCTCTGACCTTGACCATCCAAAAAAACAAGTAGCTTTCCTTGATTTAAAAAGCCTGTTAGGCTATTACAGTGAGACACATTTCTGCATAAAATGTAGTTTGGGTCTTAATCTGGAGCAAAGATGACCGGAACCTGCCGAGCCTGCTTTTGTTCAAGGCCCTGTTTATACTTGGATTTGCCAAGCTGTTTGAAACTTGACAGCTACCCTATTTAGAACTTTAATATAAATAAAACCTGGGCCATGAGTCAGTTTTGTAGTGTGGAAACTTGAAAGTCTGCATGTTCTCACACTGGAATATATTACTGTATCATTTTGTCAAAAGTCTCTTACATGCTTAATGTTTTAAAACAAGCAGTGCCCTGGGGATAAACAGTGGATTCTGCCCCAAATGTTAATTTCTGGGCAAGTGCTAAATCTATACCCAGAGCTCTCAATTGCATGAATATTGTGCAAAGCTGCTCTTTGATTTCACAAACTGGCAGTTGTCCAGCTTGCACATACAAATGTCATCCCTCTTCCTGTAAAACTGTAACAGTATTTCAGTGGAGATTTACTTCAGCCAGCTTAGAAAACATAGACACACATTTGGACACATCACGCCACGTGGAGGCCAGTGTTCAACTGAAAAACCAAAACACACTTGGCACATATGTGGCCAAACTATATCCTGCCTTAATTAGGTTCTGTGTGGCAAATTTCATACAACAGTCAGCATCCAAACAGTCAGCATCCAAAATAGACCAAAAAAGGAGGGAGAAAAATCTCAATACCTGTATGCAGTATAGAATTTTAGTAGCAAACAAGTCCAATGAGTTTTCGCCTACATCAATTTTAGGCCTTGATCAGGAGTCAAAATGCAAAGTTGAAACTAAAGGTTAACTGAAGCATAATTTATAGTGTGCTTCTTCTAAGGCATACAAAGTAAAGTGATGGATGGACAGGGTGTTACAGAAAATCTCACACTGGTGTATACACCATACTCTTAAAGTATACACCCAAAAAACCAGGGGAACCGTAGTTTACCTCCATGGAGCTACAATTCCCAGCACCATTAACAACCTACGGTTTGCATGGTTCTTGGGGGGGATGTGTTTTGAACGTATAGTGTGCATGGAAAATCAAAGAGAGAGAGATAAAAAGGAGGAGCTGCATTTCAAATTGATACGACATATATATTAGATCTGAAAGAACACCCTGTTGCTATTTGATGCTTATGAATGCATCTTCACAGCCTTGCGCAGTCTGACAGGTTGCCATGGAAACAGCAGTGTCAGCATCCAGCAGTCCATTTGTAAATGGACGGCTCCATGTTCTGTATCTCTAAAGTTGAGTGTGTGCGTGTGTAGGTGCTGAAATAAATTGTTTTAGATTTATCAGGAGTTTCACCTGATAACAAGCAACTGAAGATAAAACAGCAGTAAAGAAAGATAAAATGATACTCCCCAGAAAATGTTACTTGGCCCAGAACAAAACACCCCAAACACAGAGCAGAGGCAGCTCAGGACAATCTGCTGCCTTGGGCAAAGCTCAAGATGGTGCCTTCTCCTAAGGCACAGACAGAAGCCAATTTGACTGGTAGTTTAATCTTCAATACTGGTAAAAGGACTGCATCCTGAGGACAGCAGGCTAATGCAAGGGGTACAGGCCAGGCAACATGGCACTCACATGGCACTGTCCCCTCCCTGCACCTCAGCACCTGTCACCTGAGGCAGCTGCCTCCCTCTGCCTCATCGTAGGGCTGGCCCAGAAGAAAGGTATTAGTTTGGTGTTAGGAAACACAATCAGCTGGTTTGATTTCACTCCTCAATATACAGCTTTACAATGCAGAGAAATAATGTTTGGTTTCATTTCAGTACACACCTGCCATATCTCCTTCAAGCCCTACCCATTCCTCCATGCAAATTGATGCTAGCATATCCTTAAAGTCCTTCAGTGAGGGAAGCTGTTAGCCGTCCTATGCATTACACAGCAGAATGAGGCCGTTTTCTGAGGAATTCCTGACTGTACCACTTCAGGTGGCAGCAGGTGAGTCCCTCTTCCTGATCTGCTACCATCCGACTCACCTAGCTGCTCCTCACTTCTGGGCTGGCCTCATCCTCAAGTGCAGGGCAGGCCCAATATATTTTGGCACCTGAGGCAAACCACCAAATGCTGCTCTCCGCCTGCCAGGGAAGAAGGGCTTGGTAAAGGCCAACATCAGGAGCAAAGGGGGAATAAAGATCTGCTGCACCACGACCTGCGGTCCCTGTGGATCCTGCCATCTGAGGCAGTTGCCTCACCTTGCCTCATGTGTGGGCCGGTCCAGCTCAAGGGTGCAGCAGCAAAGAAGAAGGCAGGTCTGGCTCTACCGGCAGGCCTCTGCTAATTGCTTCTCTTTCTGCCTTGTGCTGGACCTACACGGACCTGTTTAACCTTATTAGAATGATATTAGATATGTCTTTCTAAAATATCACAGGGCCTACTTGTAAATTAAAACTGTTTCTTTGTTTTCTCCATCAAAACAGTTTCCCTGCTGACGGTTGCTGGTTGCTCTGCAGGGCCCTCTGGTGTCACATTTTAATAATGCATTACGAAGGTTAAAAGTAAGATGTCATGTATCCATCTACATTGTGAAAACCGTTGTTGTTGTTTAGTTGTTTAGTCATGTCCGACTCTTTGTGACCCCATGGACCAGAGCACGCCAGGCACTCCTGTCTTCCACTGCCTCCCGCAGTTTGGTCAGACTCATGTTTGTAGCTTCGAGAACACTGTCCAACCATCTCGTCCTCTGTCGTCCCCTTCTCCTTGTGCCCTCAATCTTTCCCAACATCAGGGTCTTTTCCAGGGAGTCTTCTCTTCTCATGAGGTGGCCAAAGTATTGGACTCTCAGCTTCACAATCTGTCCTTCCAGTGAGCACTCAGGGCTAATCTCCTTAAGAATGGATGCATTTGATCTTCTTGCAGTCCATGGGACTCTCAAGAGTCTCCTCCAGCACCATAATTCAAAAGCATCAATTCTTCGGCGATCAGCCTTCTTTATGGTCCAGCTCTCACTTCCATACATCACTACCGGGAAAACCATGGCTTTAACTATACGGACCTTTGTTGGTAAGGTGATGTTTCTGCCTTTTTTTTTTTTTTGCCTTTTTTTTTGCTTTTTAAGATGCTGTCTAGGTGAAAACCGTTACTTAATGTTTAAAACCATGAGTGTCGATCTGCCCTTGGTGCTCCTCCCCTCTCAAATAGGAGCCTTGTTGTGAAATGTGATTGCTAAGAGATGACTAAGAGGAGCCGGTGAAGATGCCAGACTAAGGACCTGACCAAACCACAGGCCCATCTGTCTTCAAGTTTAGTAAACGTACAAACCACTTTTTTAAGAAAACATTCTTTGCAAAGCAGTGCATAACAACCAAACCAACCAACATACGCACATCTTTAAAATAAGACCTGCATTTCATAATCATATATATAAAAAAAAGGTCAGCAGAAAAATCGATCAACCCAGCAAAGACTATAAGCCACTTAAAGTTCCATCTGCACTCAAGGGAAACTGACTATAAATGTGTTATCTGACTTGAATGGTTTTGAATATAACTTTTTAATGAAAAGTTTATAATTTTTTATTCTGATGTTTATTCTTTGTCTACTTATGGATTAATTAATTTAGGGCATATGCCCCTGTTATTGCTGGTAAACAATATAATTATAATTATAATTATAATTACATAGCATTATATGCACAAATCAGACTTCCCAGTTTTAGTTTTTAAAAGGTGAGCCTCCCCCTCAGTAATAGGTTTATTGTATCATTTCTAAAGCTTCAGGAAAACCATGGTATGTGGGGCCAGCTTATATAATAGAATCAAGCCCCTCAGTGTTTTTTGGGCCAATCCATTTTTTGAAAGATAACAAGTTTACTTATGGAACGAATGGATGGCAGATAGAATTTGTTAACACAAAATACGTATGGACTTTTCCAAATATAGAAAAGTGTTCACATTCAGATACCAATACAAATAAAACAAACTGCTTGACATATTCCCTAGGCTCTCATGGTACCCAGTTCAACGGCTGCTGAACTTCTTTTGCAAAGCTTTGCTGCCAGGCAACCGAAAATTTGATGAGGCAACGTGAGAAGCTTCAGAAGCATGATGTATATTAAAGAGTCGGTCTCTTCTGCCAGAAACACTATTTGGCAAGCTGCAGGATTCCTTCTGTGTGATCATTGTGAGACCTGTTTGACTAAAAGAAGCTGTTAGATGAGAAACAGGAATAGCAACTGGTGTTAATAGCTGCTGGTAAGCAGGCTGCATTGCAGCTGCTTTGCATGAAGGATGGCGAAAGGGGAGGTGGAGAATAAGACACAGAACCATGCGATACCTGCTGGCAGTCCAGTGGTACGAGGAGAGCCAGAGGGGAATCTGAAAACGCCTTTCCTACCGTCAGCTTTGACGCAAGAAACTGTGACAAGAGAAGGGGTGTCTATTCACCGAGCTCTGATTCCAAAGTGGGCTCTCGTGATTTGATCTGGGCAGGTTATGACCCAGATGGGATTAGGAGTCTACTTCAGAACTGGCGGTCCCTTTAAGAGCTGGTTTGAAGGCTGTGGCCTTGTCTCCGTTTCTGTACAATTTCCCCTGAGAGTGTTGGGATGTCACCAGGATGTGCTAATGACATCTAGCTCTCTTTATCTGATACACCTGAATCAGGAGGGGCTGGGGCTGATTCAAACTGGTGTCTGTGCAGCTTCTGTTTGGGAGGGAGTGCCGCACCATCTAGATATCTGTGTCATGCCTGATTTGAAGCTTGCAAAATCAAAAGTTGTTTATTCAATAATAATTTTAAATATGTACTTGGTTAACATTAAAACAATTATACAAACAAATCCATAAATTAGCCAACAACGGAACAAATACAGGGAGCTAATCTGGACCAATAATCTTCCCCTCCAAACCAGTAACGAACAACCCACACAAGCCAATATGGCCTCAAACTAGTACTCTTTGCAGGTTTCTGACTTAGCCACACTGCCACTTGTCATGAACCGATAAGTTTTCTGCTTGCCCCGTTGTCAGGGAACTGCCATCGGCTCAGGGGGGAGAGGGGAAAAGCCGGATGGATTACAGAGAGCCCCCAAAGATCGTGGGAAGCAGCTCCTCCTCAGCAGAGGAGAGTAACCACGCCTCCAGTGGAGAGGAGCTTCAGGGCTCGGAGGAGACAAGGCGGTGCCAGGACACCTTGCCTGGGCAAAGCGGGGAGGAGAGAGGTCCTCCATTACCCACGCCCTCCTTGCGCAGTAAGCTTTCCCGCCGAGAGGGGAGGCGCAGACTGGGTGTCAAGAAACTACTTTCCTGGGGAAGGTTTAAGGACCGGCCACTCACGGATTCTGCCAGTGAATGAGCCAGCCACGGGAGAGTAGTTTCTGGACAGATAAGTTTATTTTGGCATCAAAAGCAAGGCTTCACAGCCGAGCAGGGAGGCATTTGCCTGCTTGCTCTCGAGCAACCCCTTGGAACCCTTACACCCGTGCTTTCCAGGCATGAGTCCAAGCTGCGTTTCATTTGTCCCAGGAAAACCTGCTGTTTAGCACTAAACTGGAACAAATGTCAATCTGCAGAAAACACAACAGGCGTTCGTTGCAATTCCGCAGTAAACAGCAGGTTTTCCCAGGGGAGAGCAGCGGGAGAAATGGAAGTGTGGAAGAGCCCTGAAACTCCCATCATCCCCAACCATTTGCCCTGCTAGCTGGGGCTGATAGGAGTTGTTCAGAAATACTGAAAGGGAGGAAGGAGTAGCTGGGGGTGAAGAAGACTGGCCTTGATTAGTGCCAGCCTCACTATAGCCTCCATCCAGACTGTAGGGATCACTGTCACCCAACAAGCAGAGCTGAGCAGCCAGGTAGGTGTGGACAAGACTGGCCTTCTCTCTCCAAGGCTCTTCTCCACTCTCCACATCCACAGGACTGAAAAATATCCAACAAAAAAAGCACTTCAGCACACAAAAGGCTATTTCGGATACCAGCTTGTCCCAATGGTCCTGCAGGATCCCAGTTAGAGCTCTTACATTATCAAAGTGCCACAAATACTTTGGGGTCAAAAAGATCAATGAATCAAGTACTTCTGCCAATGTGATAAAGAGCAACGTTTCTCTATGAATATCATACAAAAGAGCCTCACAGTTGATTCCTCAATACCTATGGAAACCTATGAAAAAGTCTGAATGTATTAATGGGATTAATTGGAAGATTAATCAGTAAGGTTGTTAAGTATAGCTTTGCAATGTGGATTTTTAATTGGATTTTAATTTCAACATCCCTTGTGAAAGGTTCCTCATACCAAGACATATAGCCAAGGCTTTTTGTTCTATCAGCAGTAATCTAATGGATCAAGGGCTGGAACAGAGTTCTTGGAATACCGTTTTTCTTAGAATTTCTCATATCTGATGCAAAGAGGCAAAGTAGTGGTCTCTCTTTCTCCAGCCCCAGAGGATACACAGAGATGAAGGCAGGAAAATGGCACCTGTTGCATTGAGCAACAGTTTCGTGCTTTACACTCTGACCATACATGGCTTCAAATCTCACATCAGAGCACTCATCACATGGGCAGGGGCACAAAAATTGCTATTAATCTCCAGGGTATTTTTTTTAGTGTGAGGTTGGCCACAAAACTGTGCAGCAAGAAAGCTAATAATGTGCAGTTGGAAAAATGGAGGTGAGGGGAACTAGGCACCTTAGGTGTATGTGTTTATTAAGCACTTAAGTGACAGGCAGTGTCAGGGACAGTATGTACACCAAATGTGTAAAAATAGAATGTGCTCCGTTTCCATACCAAGGGTATGTTCACATTTCCACTTACTCCCCATCCAGTGCTCTCCTATGGGTGGTTTTTGAAGCTGTGCTCACATGATGTTAGCAACAACCATAAAACCTGCTTCTATGTGCAGTTCTTTACAGAGTCAGGTCTTTTCAAAGTAAATCTCCACAATGCACTCCTGACATCTTCTGGACTATCTCTGAAATTACAATGTGCATCTTTGTACTTGGAAGTCCAGGGCAGCTTACAACACACCCACACACAGCAGCTTTTCTGCTCTGCATCAATGCTGTTAACTGCAGGCTGTAATTTGGAAGAAAACTCAAGTGTACATCCCTAACAGTGCCACTTTTAAGCCTGACATGTGGAAACAACCCAAATTTCCTTTCAGAATCTTTAACAGGGGTTGTCAGTTGGGGGGGGGAGGGCAGGATTTAATACATTATTGTAATAATAATAGCACATCCGTTTTCTAAAGAACTAGTTTTTGAGATTTATTTGCACATGGCAACTTCAGCCCTGCTACTTGATTAAGCATTGAGATTCACAACATTCAGGAGCAGTAAGGCTGCTGCTGTCCTGCTAAAGATGGGGCTCCTCCCAAGCAAAAATAAAAAAAGGTTCGTGACTCCTCAATGGAATTTTTTTCCAGATGGAAGAGTCAGTAGCTTCTATGGCTCTGAAGATAAAGAGAACTCTAATTTGTTCTGCAAACAGAAGGCTAAAATAAACATGAGGAAGTAACTAAGTTGAAAATTGGTAGTGAAGCAGCAGCAGCAGCAGCATCTCCTGGGTGCCTCCTGCACTCTTATTTCTTTCCATGGCAAATAAACCTTGCAGTCACTTTGGTTAACTTTGCCTTAAGCCCTCAGAATGGCCAGGCTTCACCTCTAGCAAATTGCTCTGAGTTTTAGGGCTTTTCGGTTTTTCCTATGGAAGACTGGAGGCTTTGTACCATGATCATTCTTATCAATCCTGCACATTAGGATTATATTGCTTAACTCTGGTGTTTTCAAAGCTTTAGAATACTTTGTTGGCTTCTGTCTGTCTCAAGAAACAATGGAGTGTGCCTCCTGGGGTGAAGTCAAACCGTTGCGTGAGCAACACCGAAATGACTTCCCCAGGACACAAGTCTGGGCAGTGTGTGTGGAGGTCCTGCGCTGCCCCGACAACATGACCCCCATTCTCAGCCCCACAGATGTGGTCCAAAGGAAAGCAGAGCAATACGTTTGGCACCATCTTGGCTGCAGTAATTGCTGGAAGGAGGCATACAAGGTGCCATCCAGCTGCCTTAGGGACTCTGTTCCAGATCTGTGTAGGGTTTACTCCTTAGCATTTTCTTCTCCTGAAGATATCCCACAAAGCAGCAGGGGGTTAGGATTAAAGTTTTCCTTCTCCTAAATGGGCTACCTTCCCAAGTGGACTCTCACTTCCCTCTGCAGCATGTGCAGAAACTGCCTTCTGGACCATTGGACCCAATCCACTGGAGCCTGTCTTCGCATGCAGACGGAAGTCCCAACTCACCAAGGTTAGGGTTGCTAAGGACTTGTAAAATGGTCACCATCCCTCTGCAGCCAGAGGGTATGCAAAGACATGCACCTTCTTGCTCCCATGAGAGCTGCTAAAATGGAAGATGCTGGATTTGTATCCAGAGTAGGGATGCTGTCCCACTTTGGTTGTCAGTTTGCTGAACTGCCAGCTGATTATGGTCTGCTGCACTTCTCACTTCATTATATTTTGCTATTCCCATTTCAGTCTCATTTCACTCATCGTCAAATATAATGTTATTGTTTTAAAAAAACCCTGCCCAATGAGTGTCTGATTCTATCTTAATTGTCCATCAAGCAAGCATATTGCCTCAGGCTTTCGTAGGCCTGAGGGGATGGTTCCTCCTTCTGCTTGCAGTTGAATCCACACACACCAGCTACTGTGGAAGGTGAAAAACTGAACCCAATTTAACTTCAAACTTTGAGTGCTGTTATTGATCTTCTAGTTACCCTGTCTGAAGTTAACCACCCCAAAACTGATGGCTCCACGACTGCCACAGCAGCAGACTTTTTATGATTTTGAGACCTTCCTTCCTCTCCCCACGCCACCACAGTCAGTTTTTCAGTGAGATGCTTTTCACATTTATTGTGAAGCAAATAATTAAGGCAAATATCAATGTTACCCTACCAGATCTTTCCTTTCTCTCGTCTGCGTGTGCAGAGCAGTGGCAGCTTCTCGGCTCTCCCAGCTCCATCTTGGATCGGCAACTGAGGGTGGAACTATGCAGCTCTTCCTTCTTCCTCAGAATCTGCACACCCTTGAGGTGTCTGGGCAAGAAACAGCAGCTCACCATAATGCCCATGTTGAGCC